TAAAACTGTGAAATGATTACAGTTGTTGTTTATATCTCATCCCTACCCAATATTCATCCAACCTCCCCATGAAAACTCCCAGCACCAGGGAATTTGCCATGGCCCTACATTGTTGTTATGTAGCTTCTTTTGTTTTAGTTTTATTTAGTTTTATTTATTTAGTTTATGTTTTTTTTTTGCTTTAGTTTGTTATACTCTATATCTTTTGAGAATATTTGAAATGAGCTGGAATCACGGGCAAGATAAAATAGTAAATCATTAAAAGATGACTCAGTGTGGGGATGGCGGGTGAGAGAGGCCAGGAAGCTGCAGGTGAGGGAGACCCCTGCATTTGAGCAGAGGAGGTCATATGGACAGTCCTGGCAGCAGTGGGAAAGAGGAGCCCAAGGGATTCCTTAAGTCTTCTGAATCTAATGCAAGGGAGCAGATCATATTTTCAAGGGAGGTTAATGTTCTGCTAAATTGGTGCTCTATGAGGAATTATCATAAAGCCTTTTACACAAAGCACATTTTAAAAGGCATAATGCACAGTGGTTCTTTGCCAGATGTTTTACCAGAAATGCGAAGGCATTTCTTATACAATTCCTTAATAGAAACTGGACTTTAGGTTTTCTCTAATGCTAGATAGGTAGTCCTTCACTGCTTCAGTAAGTCATTTTTTCAGTTGTACTGTCCTAGATGAAAGACAGGAACACACTTATGGAAGCGGTCTCAAAAAAGTGAAGCTTATTTTTCTCTACCCCAGGTACCACTACTACCCCCAAGTAGTGGTATTACTGGAAGCCTTTCTAGTCAGTTCTATTGAGAGAAGAAAGAAATTTACATGGTCTTTTTGCCAAGTCACTCCAAACTTCTTCAATTTCCAGGGATTTTCCTGTGCAGACCACCGGCAGAGATCAGGGGGTGGGCATAGATTTCAGGGGTACCATGGATTGAATGCCACTCTCTAGATGCCATGATAAAGTGAAGGTCTTGTAGTGTTATTCAGGCACCAAATGCTGGGAAATGAGTCAAAAGAAGTAAAGGATTTCTGATGCTGTCTCTTTAGAATATTCTTTCCTGTTGTCTTTGGCCTTTGTCTTGTGCACAGAAGATTGATATTTTCTGTCAAATGGAGCCACATCAGATATCTTTTCTTCTGCAGGTCTTCAAGTGATATGTAAATTGATCCAGGTGTGAATCTCTTTGGAGCTATGATTACATGAAAAAGCAAGTTTTAGAAGTAAACTCATTTGTATTTTGTGATCTCAATGATCTCATGTTTTGAAAAACAAAACAAACTCCACAACCAGGATGTCAAGTTAGTAATATCAATGAGAAATTCAGTTGTCAAGAAAATGTCTTGGGACATGGGTATTCACAAGATAATCAGAGGCTTCTGGGATGACTCTGGAATTAGAGTATGGGGAGGTAGATCAGCTTAATGGACAGTATCATCAATATGGTTAATTTTATTTTCCATTAGCTAACTGGCAGAAAATTCAGATTTGATATCCTTAATGGTGCCTAGGATACAGGCATTTTGTTCTATCAATTCAAAAGGGATTCCGTCTGTAGATAACAATTAAGACATAATTGTTTTTAAGAGCCCAATTGAGGGCTCTTCCACCTCCACACAGAATTGAGAGCAAGCAGGGCCAAGCCTTTCCTCAAAAGCGTAGCTATGGATTTGCTCAAGAAGCTAGGTGCATTATCAGTTGGAAACACAAAAGTTTTATTTCAGAAAATGGAAAGCAAACTGTTGTAGCAGCAGCTATCAAGCAATATCATCTATAGAAGAGATGAAACCAGAAAACTCTTCTGAACTAGAGAGAAACTTTCCTTGAATTATACTGGCATGAGTACAAAATCAAAGAGGGAAGGCAGAGCTGGCAGTGAGATGCAGGGCAAAAAGCATAGGATTTGGACTTTCATTTGTTCACCCACTCTTTAAACAAAACCAAATACGTGTTTTCCATGTAGGAGGGATTCTTCTAGATACTGGTGTTTCAAATCAAGCATAAACTCCTTCAAGTGCTTGGACTAGTAAGAGAAAAATGCATGAGGTTAAGATCCAAGTCAAACAGAAATGGGCTTGGAAAGGAAGATTGGATAAAGATTTTGGAAAACTTGAAATTAAGACTTGAACACAGGGTCTAGTGTTGATTCTGTAGGCAATGAAGGAGGACATCAAATGTAAAATAAGAGAATGACATACATTATGTTGTTAAGGATCTAGTTGTTAAGGATCTATGGAGCTAAGTAGGGGGTGAGGAGGTCTACTGGAGTGATCTCTGTTAAGAGTATCTCCATCTAGGGGCCTCCCTGGTGGCGTAAGAGGTTAAGCACCACACTATGGGGCAGTCCGCAGCCTCTGCAGCGTGAGATCGATCCCCAGCCGGCCAGGGAGAGACCCACATGGCACAGCAGACCTCTCCTGTCTCGCCCGCTGCTCTCCTCAAGACATAACTGAAAATAGCAGGAGAAAAAGAAACCAGAGGAGAACTTTGGTGAGGGACTCAGGGGTAGAAGCCGGAAGAAGAGAACATATCCATTACATAGAAGATATTTGGTTAACCGAGGAATATAAAGATTGAAAAATGGCTATTTAAATTAGACTCCAGGAGACTCCTTGGTGACTTTCAAGAGAGTAGATGAGGTAATGAGTGGAAAATAACAGTTGAAAAAAGTAAATAATAGTCTACAAAATCAAGAATTAGGGCATGAAATGAAGAAGGGTAGTCTGAGTATATTTATTAGAAACATTCTGGTTGCAAGTGACAGAAATAATCACCCAAAGTTTTCATTACTAATGAATCTATGAGATACTTAAGGTTTCTTGCATGAAGAGATTTAGGGTTCAATCAATGTCAGCAGAAGCTGTTGGCTTGACTTTGTTTTTCTCTGTATGGTGCCTTGATTTTCATGTTCCCTACAGTAGCAAACTACCTGTAGTAGTTTTACCTTCTTATCTTTCCAGGTTCAAATCCAGTGAAATCAAAAGCAAATGCTTTTTGCCTAGTTTTAAGCAAAGTCCTGGAATTTGCTCTGGTTGGTTTGGATTTGCTTTTCTGGAGTCAAAATTTCATTCCTGATGGAGATGGCGTTCATGGATTGGTCTAAGTCAGAATATAAAGCCCTAAAGAAGCATTTGGACGAAGAAAGGAAAGGGAAGGTTTCCTTGGAGAAATTGACAGGTAGGTGGAGAAGTTGAAGGTGCTTTTGTTAAATAGCTTCAATTTTCAAGTAAAAACTTATGAAAGGTAGTGTTATTTTTGGGAAACATTATTTAAATCTATCATACCAATTATATTGCAGCAAATACATACAAATAGAAACTGAAAATAAAATTCTACAGCTAGCATATCAAATGGTATTTGAAACAAAGAAATCTGAACTTAGAATCTGCACGATCGGCCACTCAGCTGTATTTCCTGGTGATCATTTTTTTTTCCTTTTTTTTTTTTAATCTTTCCAATGGGATTTTTTATTTATTTATTTTTTTTTAATCTTAAATTTTATTTTTATATTCCCCCATACAATTGCAAACGCCCCATTCTGACCCCAATCCTTCCCCTCCCGCCCCACCCCCCAAAAAGTGTCTCTGGTTCATAGTTTTTTGTTGATTTTGATTTTCACTTTCTTATACTTATTCATTTTCCTGGTCCCTTATTTAAGTTTTCTAGATTCCTGCTATGAGTGAGACCATCCGGTATTTTTCTTTTTCTTTCTGGCTTATTTCGCTGAGCATGATCCCTTCCAGCACCATCCATGTTGCTGCAAATTGCATGTGTTTATCTTTTTTGAATGCTGAGTAATATTCCATGGTGTATATGTACCACATCTTCTTGATCCAGTCATCTATTTTTGGGCATTTGGGTTGTTTCCAAAGCTTAGCTATTGTAAATAGTGCTGCTATAAACATAGGGGTGCAGGTGTTCTTTGGGATTGATGTTTCTGTGTCCTTTGGGTAAATACCTAGGAGTGGAATTGCTGGATCATATGGAAGATCTATGTTTAGTAGGTCCAGAAATCTCCACACAGCTCTCCATAGTGGTTGGACCAGTTTGTACTCCCACCAACAGTGCAGGAGAGTTCCTTTTTCCTCCACATCCTCGCCAACATTTGTTGTTGCTAGTTTTTTTAATATGTGCCATTCTCACTGGTGTGAGATGGTATCTCATGGTAGTTTTGATTTGCATTTCCCTGATGACAAGTGATGTTGAACATTTTTTCATATGCCTGTTGGCCATTTGCATTTCCTCTTCAGAGAAGTTTCTTTTTAGCACTTCTGCCCATTTTGGGGCATTTTTGTTTTTGTTGAGTCTCATCAGCTCTTTGCAGATTTTTGTGATCAGTCCTTTATCATTAGTTTGTGTGCAAAAATGTTCTCCCAGTCGGTGGGGTTTCTCTTTGTTTTTGTTATTGTCTCTTTTGCTGTGCAGAAGCTCTTTAATTTGTTGTAGTCCCAGCTGTTTATCTTTGCCTTCACTATCACTGCTTTGGGTGATGTGTCTGTAAAGATGTCTTTGATGTGCATGTCATGTAGTGTTTCTCCTATATTTCCTTCTATGTATTTTATGGTTTCAGGTCTTATGTCTAGTTCTTTAATCAATTTTGAGTTGATTTTTGTGTATGGTGTGAGGTAGTGGTTAAGCTTCATTCTTTTGCATGTAGTCACCCTGGTGATCATTTTTGAACATTTCTCCAAATGTTGCTAGTATTTCATGAACATTTATGTGAGAATTTCATCATGTCCTTCTTTTTTAAGATACTCTTTGGATGGTTCTGCCCCGGAAAGGATAATAATGAGACAGATGCACTAAATGGGGAGATTTGTTATATTACTGCATTTTTAACCCCTCACCAATAGGTACAGTTCAGAAACTATGAATTACATTGCTAAGTACTAGAAATACATGGAGGTTTTTTTTTTTTAATCCATCTAGGATACCCAGATGTTTTTTAGGCTCTCTGATTCTTAATCTAATTCAAGTCTGCCAGTTACCATGGAAACATACCTTCTGGGTTTCCTTGAAGAGTAGAAAAGTTGGTATTGCTCTGATGTTATACATTTCAGCCAACTCCTAGGGAAAAAATGAGTGGCATGAAGTCACAAATTTGGTGTCTCCTCTCTGTCCCAAGTATGGGGCTGGGTGACTTCTCATGCGGTATGTCTGACAGCCCAGGGAAGGCTGATACGTTATAGATTCTCCTGCAAGGAACCTTTAAAAAAATGTACTTTCAAAGCCTTTAGGAATGTTACAACAGAAAATGACTGTTCCCAGCATTCCTGAGCTTTCCCAACCCAGAGTTCTAGGCAGGGGGGTGGAAGGTGGAGGTGGAAACACAATAGATGACAAATGACATGTTATATTTTTAAAATATAAGGTGTATACAATATTACTTTGATACATTTGTATTGCAATATTACCATTAGGGCAATATTGATCACATTACATTATAGTACAGTGTTACTGTTTATGTTCACATACTGTGCATTAGAGCTCTATGACTTATTTACCACTTATATAAGTTTATAACCTCAAACACTAACTGGAAGGTAGTTACCCTAACCTTCCAGTAACTACCATTTCACTGTCTGCTTTTTTTTTCCCCACAAGTTTGACTTTTTTCAGATTCCATATGTAAGTGATATATTCTTGTCTTTTCTGTCCATTGCATCTGCCCTAGCACAATGTGCTCAAGGTTCATCCATGTTGTTGTAAATGACAGGATTCCTTCCTTTCTAAGTAAAGTCTATTTAAAAGATCTTGTGAAAGATTACAGAGGTGGCTATAGTAGAATGCAGCATGGAGAGAACATACTCAAAAAATATGACAGAGTCAAGGTCTCTTTAGAATTCATACTGGATGATATAATGGCCTAGCATTTACAGTCCTATTCCTTTAAGCCCTAGTTCTCTTCACTACCCAGCTGTGATAGATTTGGAACAAAAAACAAAACTATGTAAGAATTCCAATTAGTTTAATCCATACAATCTGTTTTTAAATTGTCAGTTTTTGTGTATCTTGTTTAGGAGTCAAAACAAAACTAGCACCCACATGGTCGACAGAATTGGACTTTTATAATATACCTGTCATTTTATGGCACGAAATCTCCCTGCCACTCAAAGCACAACCTCTCTCCTTCTTCACTCTCGCTCATAATTTTCATGACCACAACAATAATAACTAATAAACATGAGGATAGAAATTTATACATTTTCTTTCACTTTAAAATACTAAGAACTATAATTGAAAAAGTCAAACAAGGGCCTCCCCTGGTGGCATAGGCAGTTGAGCGCTGCGCTGTGAAGCTGTCCACAGCCTCTGCAGCTCCGGTTCGATCCCGGCTGCCAGCGAGGGTCCCACATGGCGCTGCAGACCTCTCCTCTCTCACCCGCTGCTCCCCTCAGCAGTGTATTTCAGTCAGTCTGCCTGTTCTATTTCCTGCTCTGTCTCTGGTGGATCCTCTCACCCTCCCGCACATCTGGCCTGTACCCCAGTTCTTGTATAAAATAAATCTTAAAAAAAAAAAGGTCAAACAATAACACAACATTCATGAGGATGTAGAGAATCAGAACCCTCATACATTTCTGGTGGGAATGTAAAATGATGCAGCTACTCTGGAAAACAGTTTCAGTTCCTCAACAATTTAAACACTCAGTTACCTTATGACCCAACAATTTCACTTCTAGACAGATACTCAAGACATGAAGACATACACATGTATAGTTATGCTGTTATTATTAAAAATAGTCAGATGGTGGAAACAACCCAAATGTCCCTCTATAGATAAATGAATAAATAAATAAAAGATAGTATTTTAATATTAAGCAATAAAAAAGGATGAAGAACTATGGTGACCACTAAAACCCCAGAAGTGTTTCTTCTTAGAGTGATGAAAATATTTTAAAATTGATTGTAGTGAGAGTTGTACAATTCAGTGAATACAAAAAAGATAATGAGCCTTGTTGTGTAATCATAGTGTATGATTCAGCTCAAAGGGATATTAAATCCTGTCACACTTTAATGAAGTTTAAAGGAAATGGAGAAATAAAACTACAATTATGTTCTGGTCACTATGTCACATGTTTTATGTATTTATCTCATTTGATATTCTGTTAAGTATTATTACTCTGCTTTATAGAGGAAAAAGCTAAGTTTATAGAGGTGAACTGGTAATAGGTCACACATGTATTAAAGGACAAAAGGGGTGAATAACAGATTTTTAATTTTTATTCTTTTTATTTTGTTTTTATTCTAAAGCTCAAATTCAATTGAGCTTTAATTGATGAAATTGAATGTGTTATTATAACTTTCCTCATGGTAAATTAATGTTTGGAAGAGCAATTTTATAGACACATTGTGTGTCCAAGGTACAAAATGAGCAAGGTAAATTTTGATTAAGGCGGATTATTTGGGGAACACGAGGAAGGAAGGAGCAAGAGGGATGGATTTCCTGGAATTCCTTGTGAAGTCTGAAAAACCCACAAAACCATAAGATACAGCAATGTAGAACGGGGAAAGCAGGTCTATTAAAAAGTTTTCAATGCATTAAGTTTTAGCAATCTGTTAGAGAGGTGAAAATCATTTTTCCAGGCAACTGGAATAGAGCAACTCTGCTGAGTAGGATTCTGGGGCACATGGGATTCAGCACATGGGAAAGAATTCTGGGATTGATTAGCAATGTCTGCCAAAGTATGGGCAGGAAGAGGACTGCAGGAAAACCAGATCTTTGCTGCTCTTATTTAAGTAGAACAAAGCCTATAAGAACACTATAAGGGAGTTCACCACAATTTATCAGAAAAAAATAAAAACCTGTTAAATTGATTATATAATCACTGAGACAGAGCCCTCAATGGCATTGCATTAGGATTTTATGTATCCACACGAAAGGATTCAGGATTCTTACCTGAGCATCGTCCACGTCTATACTAGCAAACATTACATTTTGGTACTGCTGTGACATTGCCTTCAAGATAAAGGGAAAAGAAATTCCCTATTAGTAAGTAATAACATCAAAGCAGATACTAGAACTACTTTTTGGCAAAAAACAGGAAGTGAGCCTAAAGGTCATTTAAAGAGTTACGCAGCATTCTGACATTTTAATATTGCCTGGAACTTGAACCATCGGAGTCCAATGTCAGATGATGCCAAGATCACATAAAGTTCAGTGGCAGACCCAGAGTCTTTATGAATCAAGATTAGAATTTCAAAGTTGGAAAATGGCCCAAAGCAGAGAAATAATTAAATGCATGGGATGGGTCCAGACTTACCTATCAGGCAGAGGGAGAGACAGCCGTTTCCTGATAGGGAGTCTGTCTTTAGTGATCTTTAAAATACAGATCTTTGGGCCTCCCTGGTGGCACAAGTGTTCAAGTCTCAGCACTATGAAGCTATAGGCAGCCACTGCATGGTGAGTTCGATCCCTGGCCAGGGAGCTAAACCACATGGCACACCAGACCTCTCCTGTCTCAATGCTGCTCCCCTCAGCAGTGTATTTCAGTAGATCTGCCTGTTCTGCTCCCCACTCTGTCTCTGGTGAATTCTCACACCCTCCCCAGCAGCTCCCCCATGTGCCTCTGGCCTCTACTCCAGCTCTTGTATGCATAAATAAATAAAATAAATCTTTAAAATACAAATCTTTGAACCAAATTCCCCAACACTGCCTCTACCTTCTCCTTTTGCAGACTTTTAGGGAGGTGGTAGTGCTGCTGGTGGTAGAGGCCCTTAAATGAGCTATTGTAAATCTATTTGTACTAACCTAATTGCTTTCTGTCCTTACTCCCATCTGTCTGTACTCTACTATATATTCAAACTAGATTTTTCCGGTCTCCTTTGCCAGCTGTCTTCCAGTTACTTTCTCTCAGTAGGAAGCATTTGCAAGAAAAAATAAGGTGGTAGATGGGAAGAAGTAACTCTCTTCTGCTTCTATTTTGTCTGGTACCTTCTTTGGCAGCTGCAGTGATGATGGTGTTGGTGATGGGGCAGGGGATAAAGGCTACATCAGCTGTGGTCTGTAAGTGTCTGTTTCTTCTTCTTTTTTTTTTTTTTTCTTTTTAAAAACAGCTGTGCTCATACTTTAAGGACACTCAGCAGCATACCAATTTGTTCATTTTAACAGCATATTTCAAGCATTTCCAGCCATCTGTTTCAAACGGTGACCCCTCTGATGGTAGCGTGAGTGTGTACAGCTTGGCCAAGTGGAGACACTAACAGATGGAGCTGTTGCTGGGGGAGGCACCCATGGAGACACAGGAAGAAGCAGGGCATCGGGGGACCATGGGTCAGCAAAGAGTTCTGTAGCAGGGGTTAGTCCCAGTTGTTTGTGGAATGTGACTGAAGTGGGAGTTTTATTTTCAGGGACCCATCAAGCTGGTCAAATTGGGGGAAAACTCTTGACTAACAGGCCAAAGGCCTTTGGAGCTTAGATGTACTTTTCAAATAAAGAAATGGTCATAAAACCAACAACCTGATTATAAAATAGGCAGAGGATCTGAATAGACATTTCTCCCAGAAGACATACAGATGAAAAGATATTCAGCATCCCTTATTATTAGGGAAATGTAAATCAAAACACAATGAGATTTTACTCCATGCCTGTTAGAAGGGCTATTCTCAAAAATACAACAAACAACAAGTGTTGGCAAATATTTGGAGAAAAGGGAACCCTCTTACACTGTTGGTGTGAATGTAATTGGTGCAGCTACTATGGTAAATGATATCAGGATTCCTCAAAAATTAATAGAAATACCATATAATCTAGCTGTTCCACCATGAGGTTATTACCTGAAAAATACGAAAACACTAATTTGAAGAGAGATATGAACCCCTATGATCTTTGCAACATTATTCACAATGGCCAACCTACAGAAAAAATACAAATGCCTGTGACAGTAGATGAGTATATAAAGAAATGTGATATAGATACACAATGGAATACTACTCAGCCATAAAAATGATGAAATCCTGCCAATTATAAGACCATGGGTGGACCTAGAGGGTATTTTACTGAGGAAATAAATCAGATGGAGGGGCCTCCCTGGTGGCCTAAGAGTTAAGTCTCAATGCTATCACTGCTACGGCCTGAGTTCAACCCACAACCAGGGAGCTAACCCACATATGGCATAGCAGACCTCTCCTGTGTCACCTGCTGCTCCCCTTAGCAGTGTACTTCAGTAAATCTTCCTGTTCTGCTCCCAACTCTGTCTCTGGTGAATCCTCTTATATGATTTAGGGAATCTGAGGAGGTATGAACTCTTTTGCACCTCTTGATGTTATTGGCAGAATAATCTAGACAAGTAGAATTAACTGTCTGGTGTGTGTACCAATTACCTAATTAAATCTTGGTATATTATCTTTAGGTTAATTGGGATGCTTCAAAAAACCATAATTCCATAATAGCTCATAAATGCCACACCTAAGCTTTATTAAAAAACTTATTTGGGGAATTTACATTCCTTCTATGAAGTGAAGGAAAGATGAAATCAATATTGGCAATACTTACATGAATAAGAGGAGAAATCCTTTTGCATGGACCACACCATTTTGCTGAAAATTCAACCACCACAAGTTTGTTTCCAGCAGCTTTTAGAAATGCTTTGAGTTCATCCTGAGGCCAGAACAAAAATGAGGAAATGTGCATGGTCAGCTCATAAAACCTTGCAGAGAATAACAGCTTAGTTTTAAAAGTCTCAACTAGTACCTAACCCACAGTTTAACAAATTTGAGGTTATAAGAACATTTCTTACGGTTTCTCTTACTGAAACCCCAGAGCACTGTAACGACACTTGTTTGCATTATGAACAGTGTCTTTCATTAGCTATTTCATACATGGTTTACTTCCCACAAAAAGTCCCTAAAGAATTCAATCCTGATTCATTCCTGTGCTTCAATGTTCCCTAACTGGCACATGGTAAATCCTAATGGAGTGTCTAGCTGATGAATGAATGATTTGCCAAGATTGGTATTCTGCTCAAGATTTAGTTTTCTTTCCTCAGTAGAATTACAACAGTGGTAGGACATTTACTCTATTACTGGGATTCACTAATCTTTATAACCACACTGTGGAGTGATCCTCATTTTTCAGATGAAAAAAGCTAAAGTTTGTTAACGTTCTCATGGTCAACTGGCTGATTGGTGTAGCTGGGATTGCTAACCCAGGCAGCCTGACTCCACAGTCCATTTGTCCATTGCCTCAACCACTACACTAAATCAGGAGGGATCACTAATTGGATTTAGTGAAGCAGAACATAACACTCGAGTTAGGGATGGCATAATTCCATACAAATGGCATCCCTACTTTAAAGTAAGGGAGTCTTGATAGTTATGTTACCATTTGGTTTAGTTTCAAGTCAGCGTGGGGCAGGGGAACTGCTTGAAACTGATGAATCAATAAAGATACACTCTCTTCCTTTACCAATATTCCTCTAAGATAAAGGGTAATTTTTCAGAGAGCCAGGCCAAGCCTCCATTTCTCACTTACTTCTGAAGTTATTAGGTTGAGGCCATTCCCACAAGTCCCCACACCCTTCACTTTTCAATAGTTGTTTATGTTGGCCTCACTGGACCCATGACCTTGATTTGATGCATGATCCATGACCATGACCTTAATCCATGACCTAGGAGAGAAAACCCTCCTAGTATGTGTACTGATGCAACATTTACCTGTTGAAGTCTACCATATGACATGTACTAGACAAGCTGCTAGCATACAACTGTGGACAAAAACAAAACAAAAATTTCATCTTCATGGAGCATACATTTAGAGGGGGAAGCTGCTGATAAGACCATAAAGTACAATATGTTGTACATTAGTGCTCATTGATAACGGAGATAAAAGGAGAAAAACAAAGGAGGAAGGAAGCTGACAGCTGAATTACCATAGCAGCCTGGGTGACCAAGTCCACCTCCATGAGGCAACTTTCAGTGAAGAGCTGAAGGAGACACCAGGTCCTCAGGAGACATTTCTGAGGAGGAGCTGGAAAGGGTTTCTCAGAAGTTGAGTGAGAGCCCACGCTATTTCTCAGGCTTCTCAGAAAATTAAAATAATGACCAAAACATTAGCAAATGTGAGCTATTTCAAAATATTTTCTCATCACAGATGCCTTCTTTCAAACGGATCATCTTATTTTTGTGACCTTATGTGGAGCCACATTTGGAGAAAATGTCAGAAGTCTAAATCTGAGGGATCTGGGAGATAGAAGGCCCAGACTCTATGGCCTCCCATAATGAGGCCTGGCATCAGAATATGGTTTTAGAAAGTACTTTTTAAAACAGTCACCTAAGGAATTGTTGATACTGATGGTCCTTGTTTTCCCTATTCTAATACCAAGGCATGTCTGAGTTTCTGTTTTCTTTCCTAGGATAAGAGAAATATGTGGACTCTTACTTCCATCGAATTTTCCAGGGACATCTACGGTAGAATCAGTGGTGTCTGGTATAGGGTGAGATATGTGAGGAGTTGGCCTAAATCCAGCCAGAGTCAGAACAAGAAATGAGAATCAGGGAGGAACAAGACCCTTTTTTGATCAATGTATCATTTCCCACTCCTTTAGATGGTGCTTTCGCTCAGAGACAACACAAAGAGTAAGAATTTAAAAAATCCCTTTACTAGAGAGCAGTGAGGGAGCACTGGATGGGGGAAATAATTATGAAAGTGTATCACACCTTTCTCAAAATGTTTTCTTGAAAAATACCAATGAAGACAAAGAAGTACTTGCCATATTTTTAATAATCTTCATCGTGATTTATCCCTGGGATTTGCTGACGACACTCTTGTTGGTTAGTTGGCTCAGCGGAGCTTTCTCTTATTAATTTAGGATCCTAGCTGGAATATAAGAGTAAGTTCACTGTGACATCATTGAACATGGCATCTCAGAATCTAGAACTTGACAGACGTGGATCTCACTTTACTTTGGACCATGAGCAGTTAATGTGTGGCAGCCAAGAGTCAGCCAACTGCAATCTGTGCATGCAGAATCAATAATCTAGTTCTGTCTAGTCTGTCTAGTTCTGATTTTTTATCATTGTTTCCAAGGCCCCCTCTCCCTTCCCCAACCACACAACCACCTTATGAGAAGTCACCCAACCACACTCACCTTATGTGGGGAGCAGCGGGCAAGTCAGGAGAGGTCTGCTGTGCCATGTGGGTAAGTCCCTGGCCTGCCAGGGATTGAACTTGTGCTGAAGAGGCTGTGATAGCTTCATAGTGCTGTGCTTAACCCCTTGCACCACCAGGGATGTCCCAGAGGAAAGATATTTTCATTTAGAATTAAGAAGAGGGCCTCTCTGGTGGTGCAGCAGTTGAGCACTGGGCTGCGAAGCTGCCTGCAGCCTCTGTAGCGCTGGTTCGATCCCCGGCCACCGGTGAGGGTCGCACATGGCACTCAGACCTCTCCTGCCGCCCACTGCTCCCCTCAGCAGTGTACTTCGTCAGTCTGCCTGTTCTGCTCCCTGCTCTGGCTCTGGTGGATTCTCTCACCCTCTCGCACTTCTGACTGTACCCAGTGCTTGTATAAACAAATAAATAAATCTTAAAAAAAAATGAACTCTTAAAAAAAAAGGAATTAAGAAGAGATTATTTTTCAGTTGAGGAAAATACTAATGACTCAACCTAGATGATGGTTTTCTCATAAATTTGGTTTACTGACTCATAAATTCCCCTGAACTTTGTCATGTTTTCCCAGTTTTTTAGGAAGTAAAGAAACAACTTTTATATACTGGCAAACTTTTTCTATATAAAAGATGATATCTTAGACTTTCTGGGCCACATGCAGTCTTTGTTGCCTATTTTTTGTCTTTATAATCTTTTAAGAAAGTAAAGACCATTGTTAGGTGGTGGAACTCAACAAAAATAGTGATAGTTTGCCAAACCCTGAACATGATTAATATTTTTCAGTCTTCACTGTCAGAAGAAAATCCAGACATGGTCATGGCTAAAGTTCCTCAGATCTTTAGAGCAACAAAAACAACAAACGTGGGAAATAACAGAGTTCTACAGTCAATAAAAACAACAAAAGCCTTATTTTTAGTTTTACCATATGCAGGAATGAGCTGCCTGCCTTCCCTTTTGTCTTTAGTAGCTGATGCATGAAGTACGTTATTTCTTGCTAGAACCACAGATCAGGTCGGTTTTGTAGCAGGTATTTGTCAAGTGCCTCCCACCACCTATTTCTTCTGACACCAAAAACACACAGATTTTTTTCCTATGGGCAAATGTATTCCTCCTCCATTTTACAGCAGCTATGTCATTTGTATAAGATTAAACTAGGCTTAAATCAAGGGTGAGACCTCATTATTTTAATCCAACCAGCAATTCTTTTTTTTTTAAAAAAAGATTTATTTATTTATGCATAGAAGAATTGGGGTGCAGGACAGAGATACGGGGGGTGAGAGGATTCACCAGAGACAGAGTGGAGAAGTAGAGCAGGTGGATCCACTGAAATACACTGCTGAGGGGAGCAGTGGGTGAGACAGGAGAGGTCTGCTGTGCCATGTGGGTCACCTCCCTGGCCTGGAATTGAACTCAGGCCATACAGGTGACAGCCTGAGACTTAACCCCTAGGCCACCAGGAAGACCCCCCCAAACAGCAAATTCTATCTTAGATATTATAGTTAATGAAGAGAGCAAGAAAGCAATTCCTAGCACTTGAGACAGAGTTGCTAAAATTTTCTCACACCATCTGGAAAGAGAAGGCTGGCAGGCAGCTAGTATAAGACACATGGGGAGCCCAATCCTTGTTTGGGGTCAATATTTTAAAAGTGGTGAGCAGACATATGGGAAACCTGTTTTATTATTTTTCGGTGATATCTTGGTTCATTGGAGTAAGCATTCTGAGAAACTCAATCTAGGTCTGGAATTTTCATTTTCTTAGACACCAAATTCCTTTATTGTTTAGAGGTATTAAATTGTTGGTATTTTTGATCCTTAACTGAAGAGCTTCAAGATACAATATAATAAATGTTTCTCCACTTGCATTAAACTGCAAGAACTATGACCTAACATCATTCTTAGTATTTAAAATTTCTCACATAGGGTATAAAATAATAGAAAAAAATCTAAATTTAGAAGAGGGGAATTTTATTTCTGAAATATTCATTTACCAACTGGCATTCCAATGATCTAAATTTGCTCCCAAGTCTCTTAACTGCCTGATATGTATCAAGGGAGAACATGGAAGGAAAATAAGTTTTGGACTCAGACAAATGTTATTTTCCCTTTTCAAGATATATGATAGGTACAAAACTTGGATAGAATAATTGGGTTTCAAATCTGAGTGCTACTGTTGTAAGATCTTCAGCAATTTATCACTAATATAAGCTTCTATTTCCTGATCTGTGATATGGGGATAATACCTCCTTGGGATATGGTGAGAATGAATAGATAAAGTCTCACCAAGTGTGTATAATTCCCCAAGTCCAAGTCTCTGCCTTTTCAAGTTCATGTTTCAGAATGAGCATTTGTACCTTTTAGAGAAAGTAAAGCAAATAGCAATTCAGTGTAGTTACCCCATCTGAGCTGCCAGAACATGAGATGGAAATGCAGCTCAGGTTGTGAATGAGCTGTCCACAGCCTTTAAAGACACATTTCTGTTCAGCAGACACAAGTTTGGTTTTGCCCCAAGCAAGTTCACTGCAAGCAGTTTTGCTGCAAACATTTTCACCACATAACTATGGCCATAAGACAATTTTGCCACAAAAAGAAAAGCACAAAAAATAAAAGTAGCACATTCAAAAGCAAACTCTGAAACTTAAAAAGTTAACAAAATACAAAATCTTCTAATATGACTATACTGCAAAAACTACAGTCTTTGAACATGTTTGCAAATGTGTGCAGGTACACAGCGATACTTGCAGAGAATGGATTTTCTTTTTGGGAATTGTCTCTAAGCACTTGTCTCTCAAGTCTTTTCATTACACATTTTTTTTTCAAGGATCAAACTCACTGGAAGTGTGAAATCAGAGCATCAAGTAGACAAATGAAACCAAACTGTAAACCAGTTCTTCTCTCTTTATAGCAAATTGCCTTAAGACCCATCATTTCTGGGGCAAAAATGCTTATTGTGTGGAACTTGAGCCAAAACTACCTTCAACTGATCATACATTGGGCTTTTACACATTGGCATTTTTAGGAATAAACAAAACTTCTTTCTCATCTTGAAAAAAGTCCTAAGATTTGGCAACCCTGAGCCTTCAGTCCAGTACTGTAGGATAACTGCAGGTGGAGAGAGTAGTGACTGCACCTTGCACTTTCATGCAAATGACCCTTGTCCCTGCTATTTTGAGTAATTTGAGATGGATGGACAACATACCATTTTTATTGTGAGTGTGTAGCTATTTTTCTTCTACAAGAATAAAAAGAATTTGAATTATTCCTAATGTCTTCATGCAGTGTACATTTCATTCCTTTTCTGTTTGCCCCTGGGGTGCAATACATATTAAAATTACTTGCCTGGCTTCTATTGGCATTTGAGTTTGAGATCTCTCATTCTGATACTTCTACCATCACAGCTAGGAACTCCATGCTTGATTATCAATGGAAGATCCTATCAGTTTCTTCTCCTCCTTTTTCTCTTTTTTATTGAAAAAAGAAAGAAGGATGGTGATATACATTGAACATCTTTCAAGCCTCCAGTGGGAAGCATTGCCTTGAAGGAGGAACCCAGTTCTAGGTACCATTTTCATTTGTGTTATCTTACAAGTACCCAGTTAATGAAGGCGATTGTTTGTATTCTACAGGTGAGATGACTTGGGACCAGCAAGAGAGGGTAACTTCTCCTGCTAGAATTAGAGTTCATGCCTGGAGGTCCTGCCATACAGGAAGAAACACAGGGTTACCTGAAATATGCAGGTCCTTTAGGACACAGTATAGCATTGGTTGAGTTGAATTCAGAGGCAATTCCTTTTTGTTTTCTGCCTCAAGAAGACATCTACCATTTCTACTTTCCTTTCCCTTATCAAATAAGCTCTTTTTGAACTTCTCTCCATTACATGTGGAGAGAAGATGGTACAGAAATAATTCTCAGACGCAGCTACTGCCTTAACCAACAAATACCAACCACATCCATGTATTCCCAGAAGCTGAGCAAGGCTGGGCCTGAACTTCTGCCCTTCAGCACTATGGCGTATAGATTTTCCATAGAATTTGCCACTAGTCAGTTTGCCCAACCCAAAGCAGGAAGAAGACAAGTTGCTGGCTTATGCCTGTTTAATCCCAACCAGAACTAAGCACAACCAAATTCCAGAAAATGACCAATTTCACAAAAATATCCACTCTCTTACATTTTGCAGTGAGAATACTTAATGTGTGGCAGAGCAAATTTCTAGTTCTGAGGCAAAGCGCTTGGTGAAGCATTTTCTAGAAAAGAGCAACCCAGATTTCCCCTTTCTCCTTGACTGCCCTCTTTGTTTCCCTGACATGATCTTACATGTACTTTCCTAGACTCATTTCTGACCTCATTGTGGGAATCATGAAGCTCCAGGACTGCCTGGGTGGAGTCTCTTCCTCAGAAGACAGGGCTGTTGTGTCCTGTTTTTTGGTTTTTTAAATTTATTTAAATGATCCTGGGGAGGAATACTGTGCATGGGTGGGGAATTTTAAATCTTGAAAAATCAAGAAAAACAGAGTAAGAAGGAAAAAAGAGAGAAAGGAAGGGAAAGAAGAAAGCTGGTGAGAGGCAGAGGAGAGAGGAAAGGCAAAAAGGACAAAATAAAAGAATTTTTAAAAAAAAACAGAATAGTAAATGAAAGGAGGACAAGAGAGAATTTTCTACAGAGGGTAAAGGATTTTAAAATTATTTTTTAAAAGATTATTTATTTTGCATACAAGATATGGGGTACAGGCC